CAGATGGCCAACCAAACGTAGGTAAGTTCCTGTTAGATTAAACAGTAAAATGAACGAACCAGACTAAGGAAAAACGCTCAATTAAAATTGGCCACCATCTTTGACTTCTGGAGGCAAGGGCCTGATTTGTTCATGATTTAGATGCCACTACACCAGCATCATAACACTAAACCAAGTCTCTGATAAAGCCTCTTAAAAATCTAAATATCACTATTTCATTTTATGATGTGTTTATCTATTTATGAAAGCAGTAGGAAAATCAAGTGTAAAGCCCTTTTTTTTTTTTCCTGGTTTAATGCAGGCATATCAAACACCCAGAAAATTCAAGAAGTGGTAAAAAAAGCCATTGAAGGAAAATATCCCTTATACAACCTTGGTTTTGGCTATGGTGTTGACTATAACTTCTTGGAGAAGATGGCACTGGAGAATAAAGGATTGGCCCGCCGGATTTATCCTGACTCTGATTCAGCTTTACAACTTCAGGTACAACAATCACCATTTAAATTAGACCAGAGATGTATTAATTCAGATAACTATGGAGACATTTTTATTTTGAAAGAATCAAAAAGCTCAGAGTGTAATCTGGTACTGAGACACTCAAGAGTCTGCTGTAATTAGAACATTCATTGCATTTAACATTCCCCATCCCTTATATAGGCAGAAAGGGGAACGACCATAAAAGGGAGATGCCCTGGTCCATGGAAGAGGGTTTTGGCATAGGATGACACAAGGCATGGTTCCGAAGGGCAGCTTGGTGTGTGCCACACCTGTCCAAGGTGTGTAGATAAGCAAAATGGCTGCAGTCACTATGTCTCCCATACCTCACAGATCACATAGTTAACATCATGTCAAGAGAAGAGAAGGGGGGCAGAGCTTAAACATTCTAGATACTCTGTCTTCAGGAATTTACTGCAAGCAGGTGTATCTCACTATACTTCTGACCCACTGTATAGTCATATAAGGAATGGCACCAAGTACAGGCAGTGTAGAGTTAAGTTTTGGCTTCTCTCATTCCAGTACCATCCATTGGAAAAAAAGACCAAAGAATTTGGATTCTGGACTTCACTGCAAGCTCTGCCGAGTCTCCTTTTGGCTTAATTTATCATTTTAGTTTCTCTAGGGAATAGGTCTAGAAACTTACTTTTATCAAAGGGGCGGGGGGAGCGTGGGATTTCTCTTGATCAACACTGATGTAACCTTGCATCCTCAGCACATTATTCTTGGATATCTTTCCCCCTTCTCTTACATAAAGTGAAGAGTTTGTATGCCCTTTATAATTTGCACTGTCTATTGATTTTTAGGCTCTGTACTCTGAGATTTAACTGGGTATTTACTTATTTTTTATAAAATACACTTTCAGTTGTGGTTGTTAAGACAGCAAGATGTTCCTGGGTGTAGATCTAACTATGAATTAAATAAACAATCGCTATTTAGTTATTTTCCCTTTTTTTTTTTTTATCCTGTAGGGTTTTTATGATGAAGTGTCCAATCCCATGCTCGTAGATGTGGAGTTAAACTACCCAGAAAATGAAATATCTGACCTAACTAAAAACAGTTTTAAGCATTTCTATGATGGATCTGAGATTGTGGTGGCTGGGCGCTTTAAAGACCATAACCAGAATAGTCTGACTGTAGATGTGAAAGGTCAAGGTGTAAGTATGGATTTCTTTAACTGATCAAGGTATTTCTGCGCTATGCAAAATGTCTGAATGTTTAAGAGTTCAAAGCTGGCAATACTTCAAAAAAAATTTATAGTTATGCATTTACCTCAGTGAAAGGCTGTATTACTGCGTACGTGACAAAGTAAACGTGCCAAAGGCATTGCTTTTAAAGGTGCAAGCTACCTGCCTAAGTCACTCAGTTATGCTCAGGTCAGTCTGGAATAACTTTGTACTGTGTGACGGAATTAACTTTGCTAACAGATTTTTTTTTTTTTCCAGTTTGGGCTCTAAATACTCTACCCAGCTCTTTCGGGAACTGAATGTTTAGCGTTCATAGGAAATAGTCTTTATTTTGGGGGGGGGGAGGGAGGGGAACAACACTGACAGACAACCAGCTGACTATTTGAAATGTCTTCCTCTCAAAATAGGGGTCTTCTAATATGAACCAAGTGATCTAAATACCTCTTCACATCTGGATTTTATATTTCCCCTAATATTCAAGAAGTGCAACACAAACATATTATTTCCATATAGAAAATCATCTTATCATAAACATTGTGAAATGCATATATGCCCCATGCACTGTGATGTATTAAATATATGACATCAGATATAGTTCAAATACAAATGCTGTATTATCAGTATGTTAGCCACATACCTGCTTCTGCTCTAACACGTTCCTATATGAAATAGGCATTATAATCAAAGTACCTTAAATCCTAGCTAGCCAAACGCTAATGAACCAAAATGCCACATGAATTTGGAAACTGCATGATGTCCCACAGCACACACCTCACTGAAGCCACGGAACAAAGATACTGATACAACACTGAAAATGTCTTGCGCCTGTACCTGAGTAGTACCAGAATGGTTTTCAATTAGAAAGGTTTTCTAATGTCTTGACTTCCAATTTGGAAGAGTCTGCAAGTCCCCGAGGACTTACGATGCACAGAAGTTTCCTTATTTTTAAACAGCCTAACGACGCCCTGTCATTTACTACGCAACAAGATGCTGAACAAATGGCTAAAGCGTTCCAAGAGCAAGAATACATATTTGGGGATTACATTGAAAGGCTGTGGGCTTATCTCACCATTGAGCAACTACTGGAAAAACGGTAATTATATCTAGAATAACATCTTCTGTGAAAGGATTAGGCAGTTTGACTGCTGCAGCTTCTAAGATGTGAACTTGAAATTCAGAACTACATCCCTGTTTTTACCCATCATTGCACTGAGGTACAAACAGGAAACGAAAAAGAAAGGTAAGACAAATCCCCCAGCCTCCTCTTCTCCCTACCTCAGTATTCCCTTTTCAAATTGCAAATCAAACAACTGAAATTATTGCAAATATACAGCAGTTTCGCCTGCTCTCCGGTATCCCAGTAGAATCAGAAGCGTTCTTAGAATGCCACAAATATTCCCTCTTGATAAATCAGCTGCAGAGAAATGACCTCAGTTTAAAGAAAGCTGGTTGATCTAGAGTTCAGCGAATGATTTAGCAATCACTCATGCTAGAAGTTTCTCCATACGTTCAGCATTTCAGCTACAGGAGAAGAAAAGGAGAACCTCACAGCCGAAGCCCTGGATCTCTCACTAAAATACAAGTTCGTAACGCCACTGACGTCCATGGTGGTAACAAAGCCAGAAGACTATGACAATCAAGCTGGGATTGCCGATAAACCCGTTGAAGGTATAGAGTAAAACTGTGAAAATGCCTATTAGAAAAGCCAAGTGTTCCTTGCACGTTCCCCTACAGAAAGACTGTTGTGTGGGGCACAGTTTTCTTTATCTAAAAGATTTACTTTCCAAAGCTTGCACATGTACGGTTGATGCAAGATTACTTTTCACCATGAGCCTCCCTTCCACCAGATCAGCCTTCATTAGTAACTCACACATGCAAAATACTATAAATACAAAATCAGTGTATATAAAAATAAGTGTACAAAATATTACATCAAAAAGCCAAGGAACATTTCTAATCTAATAATCTAGATATATTCAGCTTAGTTCACATCATTTTCTTCTTCATTTTTCCACATATTTCAGCTTAGGGCTAAATGTAGTAATATCTTTCCAAATGAAAAGGGAATATACTCATAAGATCTTCCAGGTGCAGGACATCAGACTGTACAAAAAATGGAGATTATATCTGCAAAACACAATATTTTTATATCTTGCAGAAAAGAAAGTAATTCTGTTGGAATTGCACAATTTGTTCTCATCTCCTTTGGCACTTCAGCTAATTATTAACTTCTTGCTCAGTAAATCACTGTTTATGTTTGGTCTGTATATATCCAGTTTTATCAGTAGGAAGATATGGAATTGTAAAATACTAAAGAGATATGGCTGACTGATCAAACAGTTTTTTTTTTTTCAGAATACCTATTAACAATGTTACAATCCATCCTATTTAATCATATGACTGAAACTGTACATTTCTCTTTTTCTTCTTCTTCTTTCTTATCCACCCATGGTAACAGCTGAAGGTATGTGTATTTCTTATTACTTTTTCCATACAGTTTTACCTGCTAGAGATGGATTTCCTGCCTTGCTTATTTGATCTATGTCACATTAATTTCATAATAATCTAGGTGAACAAATCAAGACCGTTATGATTACATTAAAACTGTTTTCAGGTAGATAATCTCGTAAATAACATTTTCTATGTTAAAAGGCTCTTCCTACCACTAAAAGTTGCAGTGTCCTGCCATCACAACATTCAGACCCAATACCACTAAAGTTACTTTCCAGGACTAGCTCCACTGACTCCCAGATACCTGTGTGTAGGAGATTCTCCTTACGGAGGGGTCTTCACTCTCCCAAGGAGAGCGACTGTTGCTTTTTTCAGCACAAAGCCCCTCTTCAGACACTGCTCCATGATTTCAGATGTAAAAAGAAGAGAAGACTAGAAAACTGTAGAAGTAGCTGGGTGAGTCTTACTCACTTTTCAGTAGCACAGTACAGTTTAGAATAAAATGACACAAGGCAATGAGAGTTGGAGGAGGTGATCCTGTCCCCTTAGAGGTCCCTGGGGACAAAGCGAACCTCATGCCTTTTAAGAGGCAACATTTCTGCTGAAAAGTGGAGGGGTCTGCATTATGCCTATTCACGATGCAACTTTGACTCCATTCACAGTTTGGTTTGCTGCAGTAAAAAAACCTAAATAAATGGCTTTAACTAAGCTTGACTTTTAAAAATATCTAAAAACGTATACATAATTTCAAGATGTGGGGATTATTTAGGGGTAGAGGGAATTTTGGTGTCTAAGGAAGCAAGAGTAAGTGAGAGAGATCGTCATTTCTTCTTTCTAGACTCTAAAATAACGTACTGTTTTACTTACAGCGACGAGTCCCACAGCTGTTCAGTATGGTAAGTCATATGTTTGAATTTCTTAATGAAGCAGCATCTGTCAAAGGAAATTGATTCAAACAGCTGAAATGACTGGAGAGATAGAAAGTGCTTCATCTGGCTTTACAACTGTATTTAACAAACAATACCAAATTGTGCTAAATGCTAAAAGCACGCTTAAGGATCAAACAATACCAGATCGGAAACATTTTCAGCTAAACAGCTTTTAAAGAGTAAATGCCAGCTGATCAAACCAATGTCTTTCCCGAAACCTGTTTCCTAGATACAGAGCATGGACTTGAATTTGGATCTTCCTGGGGATTATACAAAGCACAGGACTCCGATAGCAGCATCTCTGGCTAAATTAACGTATTGATCTACTGATATGAAAATAAGAGAGAGAGACAGAAATTGATCCTTCAGATTGCTACTTGGGCCTTTCCTGGAAATGGGAGCCAAGTTTTTGTTCTGGAGATTAGGGTCTCTCTCTCTCTCTCTCTGTCAAGTTTTCTCAGAAGTTTTTGAAGAGACTCAGGTTCATTCCGGCAAAAAGAAACATCAAAACTTCAGAAGTTTTCACCGGCTGGTGTGGTTGCATTTCTAGCTAGTCTTTCTGATACACAGCTTAATCCTTAAATCTGAGACATGTGCACTCCTAGAAATACGTTACTTGGGCTTTGCAGAAACCCTCAAAGCAATCCAGTCTAAAAAAAGAGAACTGTGTCTATCCAGACAATTTTGCTTGATTTAAAAAGGGCACCAACTGCCATTTCATGGACTATATACTTGAAAACTAGGCTAGAATTAGCACTTTAGCCATCATATTAACTTGCTGACATCTTACGGGTACAGTGCAGACAGTGTTTAAATATTCCATTTTGATCTTAGCTTTTCTAACAATTGTTGTTTTTCATTCCCCACAGCTCCGCTACCTTCTTATATACTTGCATCAAGCCCTACATGGTATACTAGTGGTGAGTCAGTTTTGAAGAGATTAAGTTAGATCTGCTTAGAAGGAAAAATGAAGAGGGTATTTAAGACTGAATTGCACCATTATCATCAGTCTTCTAGAAATTTCTTTCCACAAAAGCAGTCATATTTGCTCCCAATGGGCTAGTATTTCAATTTACTTTAAACATTGCTAATATTAAAAAAAAAAAACAAAAAACTAGTCACTGTGATTATTTATGATCATTCTTTTAGTCCTCCTTCCCATTGCTAGGCTTCGTAATAGTAACTGCCTATTCTCTATCCAAACAGACTTCCTGCCCTCACTAGTACTTTCACTGCCCTCAAAGATAAGCCCTTCAAGTAGAATTACCCATCCTGAACATCCTGAATCCACATCCCAAATGCTGAAGTGGTCAGGAGTCAAAGAACGTGTATCACATACCCTAAGGGGAAGAAGGGCTCACTTTGAGGGGGAGGTGGTAGCAGCTTCCTTGGGACCTCACTTCTGCTTTAGTGGGTGGACTTGCGCGGTGATGAGCTGCTGCTGGCTTCCAGCTTCAGCAGATTCACTGCCACCAGCGTTAGCGCTCGTGCAGAACTTTGAGCTTGTGTAGCACTATGCAAATACTAGTCATTTGCATTTACAGTTGATGGAGATCCACACTTCATTATATCCGTGCCACAAAAAGAAGATGCTATTTGTTTCAATATCAATGAAAACCCAGGTGCTGTGTTAAATTTAATAAACGATCCAGTTACAGGTGAGTTTTTCATTTTTTAAATATAGTAAATTGGAATACTTACAACAAAATATCTTACATGTAAAGGTCATTGCTCTTTTCACGCTGCGCAAGCTATTTCTTCCAGCAAAGTTAGTAGACGTTATTGTAACTGTGGCAGGTACCATTGGCATGACAGTGTTTTCACTTCTTGGAGCAAAATGAACTTTTTTAACCTTGCTTGAAAACCACTGAGAGTGCCGAGAGGTGCAACTTGTTTCAGTGAATGGAAGTAGAAGGAATAAAATAATCCTTAGGTTGCCATTTCATGGAATACCTGGCAAAGAGAAAGCGTGCCCATCACAGAATCTTTGTGCCCTAGGGAATAATCAATTACTTCCAATAAGGTGGTTGTTGCCTTGGTGGAAATCTACAGAAAACCCGCATGACTTTATTCCTTCCCTCTACTTTGGCACAAACATGCAAAATAATTCTGATCTACTATTCAGCTTGGATTTGTTTCCTTGAACTGTTGTTAAATTTCCATCAGTTGATCAGGTCCCGTCAATAAAACGGTATTTTACGTTTCCTTTTTGTATTAGGCATCACAGTCAATGGAGAACTTATTGGTGATAAGAGAGCAAACGACGATTCTAAGATGCAGAATACTTATTTTGGAAAACTTGGCATTACAAATAAGCACCTGAATTTAAAACTGACAGTAACTCCTGAGAAGATTACAATTCAGAACGGTGATGAAAAGACAAGTTTCACCTGGCTTGACTCAGTCAACTTGCAACAAGAAGGGTAAGGCTTACAGAAAGAATATAAGGTTGCTGTATTACTTTTTAGGGTTTTTTTGTTGATCAGTAATATACTTTTAAGATGCGTTGTCTGAATATACAAAAGAAACTGGTTCTTGCTGGATTCTGTTCTCTACTTTGTCGTACAATGGCTGAATGATTATTCATCATTTTTTCCTCCTTGAACTAAGTAACAGTGAAATTTGCCCTAATTTTCTATTAGTGGGGCTGAGGTAAAAATATGTCTGATGTTATGCTTAATGCAACAGTGACTAGCAAACCCTCAAGGAATAAATGTAGACATAGCATGTAATTTGTCAGACAAACACAAAATTATTTGTTGTAACCAATCTCCATCCTAAGAAATAGAAATCATGGTATTATAAAATAGGAAGAGTTTGTCCTGTCAGCAGGTATATTTTTTCGTAAGATTTATCTATTGTAGAATCATATATGCCCATGCAAAACATGATTTTAAAAAAGGAACGGCAGTACCTCCTCCTCCTCTGCACTTTTGTTGTGTACTTGGAACACAAGCGTCTTCTCAAAGCGTAAAACTGCAACAGAAAAAACACCAGAGCAAAGCTGTCATTCATACAGGATACTTATTTTTTATTATGACAGCCATGTGGATGATATCACTAACACAGTCAGAAGCAAGCTCTCTTTATCCTAGCACTCACTCACCTGCACAGTTGAGGAGTTGACTTAAGACAGTTCAGGAGTCACCTTGTCTGAAAAAGAAAGGGAAAAGGTATCAGGCAGTATCCAAGGAAATAAGCGATGGCTTTATCAACAACGTTTTTATTAATACGTAGGAGTTACTATATCTAAATGGCACAAACCTATCCGTATTCATTGTACTGTTAAAGGAGTAGCTTCGGTAAAAACATTCTGCTGAAAGATTTAAAGGCAAGGTAGCCTTTTGCAGTACAATTTGGTTTCGAGTCTTGGTCTGTCTGTGAACACACAGATTCACACAGACCAAGCTAAACAGCTGAACCTTTATTTTGAAAGGCTCTGAGCAATTTATAAAGCCATGCTTGTTTTTTGGATGTGTTTCTTTTCTCAAGTTCATTTTCATTGCTGTTAACTCTGTGGAACAAAATGCCCTAAGTCGGCTATTTTTTTTTTCCTCTCCTCAGTTTAACGTTGATAATTAAAAGAAAAAGAAATTTGGTGTTCTCAATGGGCAGCGGTGCCTCCTTTGCTATTGTTTTGCACCAAGTATGGAAGAAGCATCCTCTCCATCAGGATTTCTTAGGTCTCTATACGCTGGAGAGTCATAAACTATCTAAACAGACCCATGGATTATTAGGTATGACTTCGGTTCGCATTTTGCTTCGTGTGCTTTTGCATACTTTGAGGCTACTTTATTTGTAAACGCAGTTTTGTACTTAGCCTTTCTACCCAGAGATAGGAGATGGAACTGAGATGACACTGACTGACTATATTAAGATTTCTAACTGAATATTCTGGGCTAGACTTTATGCACTATATTTTCTTAAATTCCTCTTCTGCTGCATAAATCACCAGCATCCGGTTTCCTCACTGATATATTTAAACGCCTGTATCTTGCTAAATCCTATCTCCAGATGATTTAGTTTTTTTATTACACCAGCCCTCCAGGCTCTTGGAGGGCTTGATCTCTCATTTCGGTTTATCACCTTTCTCTCAGAAAATGCATTTGTTTGTTCGTCAGTCAAAACGTGCCAAAGCTCAGTTGGTGCATCCACGTAGGAAAAGAAGTTGTTAAGGTATATCTGGATTTGCTAGCACACGTTAAAAATCGCAGAGCAGCTTGTATTCTCCAGGATTTTCCTCGCGTTAGCTAACTTGTTCCTTATTCTAATAGAGGGCAGGGCTGGTAATTGAGGGATGAAAACATTGACCCCGTTAATCATATTTTCTGCTGGGTTTTACGGTCTGTATTCTCTGCTGGAAAATGCTGTTAGCTTTCACAGATAACAGCCGTTTTTCTCTTGCCTTCCACTTTTCTCTTACAAAATTAGGGAAGTATAGCAAGCATATTCATATTGGGTCAGTAGGTTCACTCATTGTGGAAAATAATGAACTGCTGTGAACTTACTCTTCTCAAGCCCGGTGTGCACTTTGAAGTCTGAGGAGAACGAATCTAAGGTATCAGTGGTGGTAGCTGTTAGGTCCATGAATCACAGGGAATGCTGTAACAAAACAGAAAAATTGCAGAATAAAGACAGAATGTTATTTATGCTTTCCTGCTCTGGTATCTTCAGGTTTAAAGAGTTCTCCACATACAAAAGTTATTCTGCTATGGTATGAACTGAAGGTAGACTAGAGCTGGTCAAAAACAGCCCATGTGAGATGTAGTTACAACACGTTACAGTTGCAGCCACTAGCTCACACCTCCCACCACTATTTTCATCATCTTTGAAGTGGCTCTGTATTTCATCATGCAAACTCTTATCTGTGCTCATTATAGCACTCGAAGTACAAACAGAATCCCAGTTCAGTCATACGCGCAGCCAGGGCAAAAGTGTGCAAAAGCTAATCCGGTCACCAAGATGAAAGTTCCTTAGGTATCAGTTTTATTTTGAGCATAACCACGTCCGGTGATTTCAGAGATCTCCCCTGTGAACACAAGCATTATTGGAGAAAAAAAGCTGAAGACTCATTAATACATACAATGGAATAGGCCTAACACAAAGCAAGGCTATCTTGAAATATTTCTAAGAATGGAGAACGAAAAGACATTTTACTGTGCACTCAGAAGTTGGAACATTCATCCAGATTATATGCATAAAACGCCAGTTTATAAAAACTGAATAATACCATAGGCTTATGTTCAGCTTTCCATGAAACGTGGTATTTGCTTGTGCATTCAAAACCATAAGAGAACTTGAAAACAGCAGGGGAACGTAGAAGTTTGGGGGGTTTTTTTTGGTTTTTATTTGTTTGAATGCATACAACATGCCTGAAATGGTAATTCTGCCTCCTATTTTTAGGACAGTTTTTCCACCCCTTTGACTTCACCATACTTGAAATTCATCCTGGGTCTGATCCCAAGAAACCAGATGCCACAATGATTGTTAAAAACAACGAGTTGACAGTAACAAGGTAAAAAAAAAAAAAAATCAAGTTCTTAGCACAAATTTCACAAAGATTACTGTATCACAAGGTAGTATCTGCTTCAAAACTTACATTACTGTATTTCCTTTTTTAGGGGATGGCAAAAGGATTACAGAAAAGATGCTAAGAACGGCATTGATATTCCTTGCTGGTTTGTTCATAACAATGGAGCTGGGCTGATAGATGGTGTTCACACAGACTATATTGTTTCCAGTTTATTTTAAATGTCTACAACTTCCTCTTGTATCATGGCTGTACAGAGTTTTTTCTGTAACAGTAATACTTTTCAAAGCTTAAGAAATACTAAAACACATCAACTTACCATGTTTGACAATGCCAACATATGACAGATTCTAAAAAGAGACTGTGTGGTCAAATCTTGAGTGCTAAACAGTCATTCTACTCGTGTGAGTTATCACTCATCCCCTAAAATACCCTTATTTCACTGAATTTATTTACTGGTTCTAAAATTCTGATTTAGAATTTTAGACATAAAATCATAATATAAACATTCTATTCGGTTTTCAATGAATAACTCAGTGTCATGAAAAACTGAAATAAAAACATCAAAACTTAATGCCTTGTTCCCTTATTCCAGTGGCTATCAGTGTTTTACTGGCAGTTTCACAAACAGCAGGATGCCAGATGCGTTTTGAAATTCAACACAACAGACGAGCTGACAGACCTCAACGTATTTCAGGATAATTCCTAAATCTGTAGCACTCAAAACCACGTGATGAGCTGATTGCATTTCGCTGAATGCTGCTATAACACCATTACCCTTGATGGGTGTTAGGAGTATGGGTTGAACCCAGAACTTCTGTACCAGATGTTTTAATTTGAATGCAACTTTTGAATGGCTAGTAACTTTATAAATTACTGAACTACCCCCACTCCAAACAACAATTAGTTTTGGATAGTGGGTAATAGCTATCTTCTGAACAGTAATTTTTTTTTTAAAGCGCTTCTGGACAAATTCCATTACTGTCTTCCAGTAAAATTCCTTCCTCCACTCCCATAACAGAATTTAGGTATGTATTTCTGGGCAAAAAGTGTCCTATTAATTTTTTTTTTTTACAGACACACACACATATATATATATACACACACACACCCCTACAAACACATACTACACATAAATTTATATATTTATTTATATACTTTATATCAGAGGTTTTATGCAAAGCAAGCTATTCTTATGGTTTGACAGGCCTACGCCACTGGTACTACGGTATGTGCTTGAGGAGCAGATGCACCAGCTGAAAGGCATGTTATTAGGGTTACTGAAGTGTACAGGCAACTGCAACCCAAGCGGATTCGGGATGGCAGTACAGGTGTTTGTGTAGGGATGAGTGGATTTACAAAGAGTGCTGGCAAAATTGACAGTTACCTTTTAATATTAAACAATGATTGCAGTAACAACGGTAACCTGTGAACAGTGTAGTTATTTTATGTATATATACATCAGTATTTACAAAGAATGGAACAAGTTGTATGTACATGCAGTACTAAATCTTCCAAAAACGAACAGAAACACAAACCATACACGGAAAACAAAGGGCGCCGAAAGGCTGCGCCGGGCAGACGCGCCTCTCCCCGGTATCACTACCGTGAATTCAGCTGGCCAAACCTGGCGGCAGTGCCAGGCCCCGGTGCAGAAACCGCAACTCGGGGAACCAGGCCGCCCGCGCTGGCGCCCCTTCTCCCTACCTCAGCCCTCCGCTCCCCCTCTCCCTCCCCCGCCGCGCACCCGCCACCACAGAGGACCCGCCGCCCGCGGCGCTTCCTTTATAGACAGCCGGGCGGTGGCCGTAGGCACACGTGACCATGACGTGGCCTACGCCGATTGGTCGCTTCTCCACCCTTCATTTGCATCTCCCGGCAGGCAGACCGAATCCAAGGTGTGAGCACCTCGACGCCTGGCCGATACCACGTGCTCTCGTTCGGCCAATCAGTGTAAAGCTGCTGTGGAAGGGGCGGGGCAGAGGGCCTGACTGACAGGCAGCGCTTGCTAGAACCTTCCAGGGGCGGGAGGGCTTCAGCGGGGCCGTTCTAAAGGGATAACACGCAGATTTCTGATTTACTTGGCCTTTGGTTTTAATTGAATCCGACCTAACAAGGCAATCGTAGTCTCACATGGTGAAGCAGAAATTTTCCCTAATGTTTATAAGACAAGGAGGGAAAGCGGGGGTGTGGGAAACCAGAGTGCACAAAGCAGCGTGAGGAAAGAGGAAAGCGGGGAAAAAACAGTGTCGACGTCAGACACGATGGGGAAAATCGAAAGAACAAAGGTGGAGGTGAACAGAAAGGCAACTGGGAAATCAAACGGGGGAAAAAAAAAGAGGGTAAAAAGACATTTATTGCTAAGTTTATGGGAGAGGCAGGCCTTCCCCAGGGGTAAAATCCTTTCCTGTAAGCATGAGTTTGCATAAACAGAAAACTCAAACAGAAAAATCGATTCTCACAGGGTCACGGGGGCTAGATATCTCTGCCTGTGCAAAACTGGACAAAAACGATGAAAGAAAACAGTAGTTTTCCACAGAAGGTAACAATTAAGTTACTGAAAAGTGAGAGGAAGGCAGGGAGAGAAACAGGAAGGGCTGAGGGAAGACCAGACAAGTCCTGAAACCTCTTAGATAAACACCGTCTGCTGGTACAAGGATGGCTAAGAGAAAAAACATAGCTAGAAAGCAGCTTTTGTAAGACCTTCTACAGTGCTGGCAGTGGACGGCATATTTCTGAGTTCAAAGATACATAGGAACTGAAATTCTAAGATATAAAAAGATTTTGAAATTAAAATTTATGGGGAAAAAAAATGAAGACAAACCACAAGTTGCACTTGATGGGCACATTGTTTAATATTAAACGTTCTGCGTGAACGTTTCTCCTGAAACGTTACCCCTGGTGCGCCATATTTCATTTTGAATTGTTCGTTACTTGTAAAACATCTTCCAAAGTTTGCGAAATGTTGTATGAAAGCTTTCCCAGAAAGTTGCTAAATTTCAGGATTGAAATGCTGTCTTTTGCAACAAATCAGAGGGGCGGACGTGTTAAACCAGAGCCATCCTCAGAAACTTTGCAGCCATCAGTAACCAAGGAGAGAAACGATAAGCTAATACCGCCTTAGGTTTCGTACTCTTTTTACAAGAGACACAGTTCAAGAACACTGTCATTTGTTGCCGGAAATATGCTGAGCCTAAATTTTAGAAATTTAGCACTGCTTGCATAACGGGTGTGCTGGATTGGATGATACATACAGCTACTTGTTTTTATTCAGAAAACTGAGTCTGTCTCTCCATGTGAAACTGTAAGCTGATAATGTCAATTTTATTCAGTTTTGTTTACATGAATCTTCCACAACATAACCAAACTGAGCATTGTAAACCATTTTACAATTACACACAAGCAAGCAAGCTCTCTTCTTAGAAGTATAAAGATTTTGAGGAGAGATATATATGGCAGTCCTGCATTAACAAGTAAGGCAGTGACTGTGCAGTTTTCTTGAGGAGAGAGTATCCAAACTGTTTGGCAGAGCATCATTTGCAGTGTTTTCTTTCTCAAATGACTCTTCTCTAGGAAGTTATATCCAATGACCAGCAGGAAACAGGATCACTGGCTGATTCAAGCCTGTAATCTTTCTTGTATTGCCTGAAATGAAACCAAAACGAGACAAAACTGGCGATAAAACTCTCAAAGAGCAGGGCCAGACGCTACGCTCTTCAGACCTTACGTTTGCAGCTGGTACCAAAAGTCAGAGGGACTCCGCAGAGGCAGAGCTGGCACGTCTCCACTCCTAGAGCTGGGCGCAAGGGAAGTTTTCAATTTGTTTCTTGCGGTAAATCCAGCTAAGGAAATACACTCCCCTGCCCATGAAAATGAGGCAGCAAAACCTCACTTTGCGTAGCATTTTTCATGCAAACTGTAGCCTCAGGGTATGATTTCTTTTTTTTCCTCTGCTTTGAAATAAGAGCCTTGTAGCATTCCTCGACCATCAACAAATTCAGGCTGCTAGCAAAAAATCAAGGGCAAGTTGCTGTCATTTACACGGAAGACGGGTATTCTTACAAACGTTCCCTTCATTTCATTTCTGTCAATCATCTCTGCTATCCGCTGATAAAATAAATGTCATAAAACATATACTTCCCTCCCCCTTAGCCCGTATCCATTACCTGGTAACTCTGTGCTCAGTTCCAGATACACTTAGGAGTCTTTCATCATCTCTCTGATTTACACTGGGCTTATTTTCAAATTGTGCTTTTGAATACAATTGACCTGAGCAAAAGACACACAAATTATTTTAAAATTCCTTGACCCAAAACGTCCGAGTATTATTGTTCATTTAACCCAAACGGCAGCTAGGACACCAGCAAAGCAGCCAGCTGCCTCAAAAAAGTTTCCTGCCTCATGAAACTGGGTTCACATTGAGTTACCTGCACCAATTAAAAAAATGACACGTTTGGAAGCTCCCATAATGAGTTAGGAAAACGCCTGTGTTTGCAGAAGCATTGCTTCATATGGTCCATTATTTTATAACAAATGAATTTACTGCCTGCCTTATATCATGCCACAGCACTACTGAGGTTAAGCCTGTGCAGCTATCGCATTGACCAGTATTTTAGTCTTATTTTTAATGTTGAATAGAATAAATTAAATGCAATGTTTCTTTTTTGCTAGAGCCCAGAGAAGTAAAACGTGAATAGGGGCTTATGATTTGGCTCAAAGAAAGTATAATTTAGGATCTACTTTGTGGATAACTTTTCAATGGAATTAAAAATTAGCTCTTAAATATTTGGGTCCATAAAAGCAGTCGTGCATTGAAAAGAGTGGGTTTTTTTACCCTTTGAATACCTACTAAATAAGGACATATTTCAAGCGCCAGGTAAGCAAGGAGAAGAAGAGACCTTAACGCCTGTCCCCGGGTCCTACAAAAAGCAGCGGGCTGCTGCGGCTCAGAGGCGGCGAGAAGGCTCTTCCCTCTCCTTGCGTTCAGCAGCGAGCCAGGGTGCTCTAACGTCACGAGCCTATGCTTGGCATTCGGGATTGGTGGGAATAGGGGACTAACCTTTACGTTACCAGGAGGCGCAACAGGATTTGGCACTTCACCATTTTTAAATTTTTGTCAAAAACAATCATTATTTTGGTCTTATTTGTACGCTTATTCAACAGACTTATCATCCTAAAATTTCACCAGGCAAACATGCCCTTGTTCGTCTGTCCGGTCCCTGCAAAGCCCCAAAAGGAGATGGGCAGCCAGAGCGGGAAGAGATCCCGGATCCACCACATTCTCCTCTCAGCAGCTTAGTTATAAGATCATCCTTCTTTGCTGTATAATAAATAATAAAAAATTGTATAATGCTACATACCAAGGACTCCACTGACATTGTCAGAAAAGTGGTTAGTGTCCAAGAAATACAGTCCGAGGAAATCATCTGGAAGCTTGACAAAGGATATTTTTACTGTGACAGTATCAGGCAGTGACACTGTTAGGCTTCTTTCCTTTTCAACTGAGATGCTCAGCCTAGGAAGCAAGTGATGCGGTTATTTCAAAGAAGAATATTAAGGCAGATTTCATATCACGAATTAATTTAAATACCTTAATTTTTTCCTTTCATCTCTTCACATTTGTATTTTTCATGCTCTTTCAGTGGTTATTTTTCAGCTGGAAAATGTTAAGTAGCCTATCTTTTCTCCAGATGCCACACAATAGGTCTTTACCACCTCAGGCTATGTGCAAATATACCAACTGAGAAGAAATTTTTTGCTGATGAGAACACCTTTTTCTCCATAATGACAAAAAAAATTCTTGGAGGGAAAAAAAGACAACATTTTTCCATCATTTTAACAAGAAAAAATGTAGACTATGTAAAATCAATCCATTCTAAGAACAAGTCAAATACTTTTTCCTTGGATGTTTCACAAGATACGTCAGAATGTGGCTTTCTTATAATCCATAACTGTTTATTTTGAGCCCAGGTGGGCTTGCAGAATTCAAATATCCACTGTCACTTTTTTCCCTTGCAGATCTGGTTGGACGAAAATACAACCAAATGCACGCGTGAAGCAGTTGCGAGGGCTCAAATCCTGGTTTGAAGTGGGAGGAACATGCTGCTTGGTGAAAGACAAATTACAAATGGGCATAGATCTAGCACGTTCTTGGCTTTGTTTAGATTGCAAGGGTAACTTGACGCTGTTTTAAGGATTTCCCGCTGTTCCCTGCAGCTGCCTAGAAAGAAGGGGGTACGTCTGGTGTGCGTCTGGTCTGCCCCAGAGTAATAGCAGATCATCCTGGAGGTTGATTTATTTTGGGCGTACAAAAGAGCTAGTGGAACTAGGTGTACAAACCCTAAATTCAGCTCTTTTGTGCGGCAGCAAAGGTATTTGATACTACCCAAATTAGTCAAGACAAGTGAAGTATATATTTAAAACACTCCTTCTTGGGCACAGTGGGAAAACAGGCAGCTGCAAGGGGACATAGTCTTTGCAGCAGAACCTTTTTCTCGGACCATAAATGTCTTGCCTCCTAAGCTGAGGCAGAAAGAAATGCCTGCGGGATGGTTATACGAGACCAGAGAATGGAGCCCAAATCTTCTTTTCGGCATTTGAAAAGGGCAGATGCGAAGGTGTCCTGCTTCCACGCACATCGAGTTGCTCACCCAGTAGGGACATTTGGAAGCACTTACCTGAAGCAAATGGCACGTGTGAAAGTGGAGGCTGGGATGAAAAACGATCAGACTCACATTTTCAGATTAGGGAACTGACCCAAAGACATTTCTTACCCCTGGACTGTGGAGGTGGCAGACTCGGTCCATGGCAGCCGGGTGGTCTTGCGACTGTGGCGTACGACAACCGCGTCCGTGGAGACGTGGATTTGCACAGGGGGATTCACATAGGTAATTTCGAACTGCACAAAGTGATTTGTTTTGTCCCCAAGATTCCCAGTCACAGAGATTCCTTTAATAACATTGATACAAGTTTGTCACACGACCACGTTTATAAAGGAGGACTAGTCTTAATAAAACTGCTTCAGCTTTGTTGGACTTAAGGGTCTAAAATCCAGTTATGGGAGGTAGAGCAGCTCTGCAGCCTCTCTGGACTTTCAGATCTCCATGCCCCCAAGCCTGTGCAGCAGGGTTGCCAAAGTCACCCTTGTCTACCCCACGGTGTCCTCCTCCTCCTCCTCTCCCAAAGGTTTTTCTGGTCCCTAATCAGGGCAGCTGATGACCAGTGCGTGGGGCCAGGGCTCCTCCGAGTACAGGACCCCAGAAAAACTGCATGGCATGTCAAGACCGTGCATCTTTGCATTAGCATGTAGGGGCCTCAGGGTTAAAAGAGACACTGCTGTGCAGCTAAGGATCCCAGGCTGGGCATCCTGAGAAGCCCCCAAGGGCTGGGCAGGAGCGGGGCCTCCAATACCACGAATGTGACACCAGGAGGAGGAGGTGAGCCACAACTAGACCTGAAAGTACTGTCCTCAACCATCTCACAGTGAAGGCTACCAGTGCTGCCTGATTGAAAGGATCATCACATCCTCGCCAGTCTCTGCGAGGTCCCTTCAAGAAGGCAGTAGATAACAAGGCTGTTCACGAGAAGGGGACATCCCCTGGGCACTGATGGCTCTCATAGACTCAAGTGTCTCTCCTTTTCCTTGCTATCAGGGGTTGGTTCCCGTGGTGCACGAGGAGGCTGGAGTGGGCTAGGAGGAGGCAGGACCACAGAGATAACTCTCACTTTCCGGTTTCTTCCGGCTAGATCAAGGTCCTCAAACTCAGCTGGTGCCAGTTCCCGTCCCACGAGGGACCTGGCTTGCTTACCTTGCTCCGGATCGGACAGCAGGTGTACAGACGACTGCGCTTGCCCATCAGTATTTAAACAGATTATTTCACTTTGTCCAGGTAATTGCAAGAGAAGCTGGGGATATTCATCGGCTGAAAAGCCAAAACAACAGTGTTAGCGTGAGAAGAAAAATTTAGCCTATACCCTTAGGACAGGCGCAGTAAAATTATTCAGTCTAGTTGTACTTGAAATACTAGTCTTAGCTTTTATAGAACAGAACAGTTGAAACCAATGCAGTAATAATTACTGAAAATCACACCCAGACCCAGCATCTTGATAATAACAAATGTAGCGGATTTCTAAACTGAGAGGCTGTTAAAGACAACAATCCCTTAAAAAAGTGGAGGCTGAGGATACGCTGTACTACATTTCCGCTGTTAGTTATATCCTGGAGCTGGAAGGGCTTCCTCATGGGGCAGAGGGTACTTTACACTTCCAGGGAAGAACAAGCCAAGGTTTGCCAGAAGAGGTAATGGGGTTTTGTGTTTTTTTTTTTTAATTAGAGCAATTGATCTAGTCAGAAAAAAACATTATTTTATAAAAAACTGTACATTACAGTTATATTAATTATTACAATGCGATTCCTATATATATTACTTACCGAGAGGCTGGGATCTTGTTTGTCCTGCTAGCCTGAAAACTGAAACATTTAAAATGAACAAGAGTTTAATGAAGCGCTTGCTTTTTTTTCCCCTTTAACTTGGCGAACTGACCAGCAACTGCCCCACGGCAGCAACCTTTTCAGGTTTCTAACCTCTCCGCTGAATTTTATGGAGTTTTGCTTAAATAGCAAGACGCCCCAACAGGGAACATAAGAAGAGGCAGGGCGCTGAGGGCAGACGTGCGTGAGCTGGCAGCCGTTAGGGCCGGCTGGGCCACCCGGGGCCGGCCGCCCTTT